GCTTCGTAATACATAATGATAAACGGGAATCCTTTTTTTGCTCGTCATTCAATCAGAAATCTAATAAGTAAAGCTACAGGTAAATATGTGCGTACGTTTACAGACAGGGTCAGGTATGATGAACCTTGGTTAAAATTAAACAAGAAATCAAATGGAAAACCGAATGAAATAAATGATATTATTAATGACTCTACTAAACGATTTTTTATTTCTACTTGTGATCAATCTTTTTACTCTTGTGTTCTCAATCGATCAATTTTGAAATTCGAAAAAAAATTATTAAAATTAACTTAAGAGCGTATATTAACTTACAATTGTTGTTGAGGAGTATAGCTATAACGACAAAAGTTACATACAATTTTGAAGATTCAGTTAAAGTCGGAAGTATGAAGCAATGCTGTTTAGACTTGACGAAGACTAGAAACTAGTTTGGAATCCACGTTGCTTAGCATTCGGGAGGACGCCGGTTCGATTCCGGGTCCGTCTGCCTTGGTCCAAGTTTTTCTGTGGTTTCGTTGGATCACTTAGGTAAATGCTGAGGCAGTAATATTCCACAGATAATCTTTCATTCTCTTCTGTCTTCATTTCATCCGTCTCATTTTTCTCACCCGAACCACCACCCACCTATTCCCACGATTCCTGAAAGTAGACTGAAGAGGGCCTTCCGCCTTGCCTTCCGGCATAGTCCGGAGGACTGGTGGGAATGAAACATCCAAAAAGTTTTAAAAAAAAAGGACTAAGTTGTCTGATTATTATTATTTACCACTCTGAAAAAATTGAAGGTTGCAAGCAAGATAGAATACACACAAATAGAATTCCAAAACAAGGAGTATCTCCAAGAATAAGGGTTCAGAGGCCCCTATTTAAGAAGTAAATATAGTTTGAAAACAAGAAATCCAGCGAATGTAGTCCAAACATAATTAATATGGAATCGATATAGATATATCTCATGGATATTTCAGGCGTGAATAGGCAGTGGCGAGTCCCAAAAATTAAATGTTAAACCTACAAATTATCAAGAGAAAAGAGGAAGAAAAAGGAGTAAAGAAAGTATAGGTATATTTATGTACCTAATCTTTCCGCGTACTTCTTGGTCAAGCCTCATAGGTTAGACATATATCATATTTATTAGATCGTGACTTTACTTTTGGATGCGGTTTATCGAAGAATACTTCTTCATTTCGTTAAATCACTGGATCAAGCATGTAATTAAAGTCTTGAAATGTAAAAAATTAATACACAACAACCAACAAAATTTGATTCCTCTTTATTCATAATTTATAACCATGTACCTATAAGTTTCTTTCAATTACTATGGACCGATATTTTCGTATTTATTCTTGATAAGGAAACTGTTATAAACTTTTCGTCGCGTGGATATGCATCGAATGCAATTGAGACCAAAAATAATTCCGAACGTACATACGCACATTCGTACCTACAAACATTTACTGAAAAACTGTAGCATTTGACTGTAGGGATCTTGAAACGTGGAAATACTCCAAAATTTGGGATTCAGAAAATCGGACCCATTACCTAAACTTCCCAGTGGGAAGTTTACAAAGCTGACTGTGTCCTTTCTTTTTTGCTTTATCTATGTAGGCTTGTTGCGGTAAATGCTACATGTCCGCAATGCGCATCTCAAGAAATTCTGTGCCTTTTTGGATACCAAGTAAACATAATAACTCTTTCCTCTGGCGTGTTTACCAAATAGATACTTGTAGCTCCCATATGTCGGACGTCTAGGGTATATTTGTTCGCGGATTCGCCTACGGTTTACACATGTTCCTTTCTCTCTCTCATTCTCTCTCAGGAGATCAACTTACTGATAATGACTTTCGTTCACGAAACATCTAAATCAAAACGAACCAAGATAACCGAGCAAATTGCCGAAGCTGGACTAGACTATTTTTTGGTTACGTTTTGTACACGGAGAAAATGAAAAACGAAAATTTACCTAAATATTAAAGCGATTTAGCCCGTTGATTTGTAAGAGAAAATATAAAAATTACAATTTGGACCCGGATTTGTAAAAATAATTTTAGTTGATATTGCAAATTTAATTGTAGATAATAANATTACAAATTTAATTGTAATAATTAAGAAACTTGAAATAATTTTTAAAGAAATATTGCAAATTTGAAATTATTACAAGTTACATAATAATTTCTACTATTTCTACGGTAAAATTCAGTCATTTACAATCGATTGAAAGTAAGTAATGCGAAAGTTTATATGATCCTGTGGACGCGTTGCAGTCGACAAAAAAATTATTTTAAAGAATAGATAGTAGATAAGACACGTTTTGTTCTATTTAGTGCTAGTACCTAGTGATTAAAATTTAAACTAAAGAGAATTTATTCAAAGCTAATAATTATTATTTGTATATATTTCACATATACCTACGGTTCTGTTCGTTATATCGTGTAAGCAGTTCGGTCCTGGCACAGGGTTCCCATTTCAGGTAGACGAGGACGAACTTATCATGTATACCGGCTGTACCCGGGATAAGTCGTCGCTAAGACGTCAAAGGAGCGGTTCACCCATACACGCTTGCCCATTACATTAAAAGACGCTTGTTTGTTGCGGATCCTCTATTACACGCGCTACCCAAAAAGGCCTTCCACAATGGAATGTATAGTTGATTCTTGACTTAAATACTCGAGCTGATCGAAAGATATGAATAAGGCTTTGTTCACGTCGTCCTTTCAACAAATGTGAAGAATCGCGAAGGCCTAACAGATGGCCGGCCAAGAAGAATCCGTAGAAACGTTTTTGAAAGGAAACGATGGAGTTTGATGGTAACATGCTGACAATATTAAATTACACCATAAAACTTGTGGTATGTTTATTTAGTATGCAACGTATAATCTTATTGAGAAGAGCTACCCGAGATAAAAATGTTCAGTCTTTCAGAGTCTCTGAAAGCGAGACTCGAGTCTCCGTCTCTCATCGAGTCTCTCTGGTGTCGTTGAGAGAGACTGTCGAGAAACTGTCAAAAAAATTGTTTAGCGTCTCTGAACGAAAGACTCGAGTCGCTCATAGAGAGATCCTTTTCGTATCCAGTCTCTGAACGAGAGACACGAATCACTCAATAAGTGGTGTCTCTATAGACATAGTTAAAATTTTCTAAGTTCAATATATTTCAGAGAACCCAGTCTTTCTACGAGAGACTCGAGTCTCTCAATTTTTCAGTTTTATTCATTCAGTCCCTCTGTGAGAGACTCAAATTTCTGAATTAACAATTTTATCGTTCGAGTCTCTCCTACAGAGACTGTGAGACATCCATAAAAACACCTAGGCAATAACTGGGAGACTGTGAGAGACGCTCTCAGAGACGCTGAAAGACTCTGAGAGACTGAAAATTTTTGTCTAGGGTATGAACTTATAAAGGATACGAAATGATTATGTAGAACAATGAAAATTTTGTTATCCTTTCTTTTAAAGATAAAGCCTATTCAAAGAAAATGGAATTATGATATTTTATGATGTACAAAATATATGGTACAAATTTAAATATAATTATTCTATTTAATATCAAACAAACCACAAAAAATCTTAGAGAACCCATGCAACAAGAATTTCTACATAAAACCCTGTGAAGGTAATTTTTATTCTGGTATGCCCAAACTATGAACCTTCGTTACAATATCTTTGTGCACCTATTTTCGAATGTGAAGTGATAAATATAAACCTTTTCATGACAAAAGAAACGTTACATTACAAACTAATGTTTCATACTTATCACAAGCATACTGGAAGTTCCCCAGATGGCGGAATTCGACTGTTTCTGCGTATTATTGGCTTCTTTTGTTGGCGATTGTAAAACAATGCATATTTATAGCGTCATGTTACACATAACTTGATGTATAAATTAAAGAAATCAACGTGTCTAGTTATAAAAATGAAGAGAGCAAATGTGACGACAGTGTAATACGCAAATTAGAAAAGCACTTCAATGCATCGCCGGAATAAAAGATGAGATATTGAATTAATACAAAAAAAAAGCAAAGACAAGTGCTAAGTGTACGTATAGAAAATCCAGAAAATATATTGAGGATATTGCTGCAGGGTATCGAGGAAGAAGGCAGGAGTGAAAGGTAGATTAGAAGCATACGGTTCAGCTCGGGTCAAGTGCCCTGTTGTACGTCTGTTTGGTACCTGTCTGCCTGCTCTCCCCAACCAACCCTCCTTAATGCGAATAGGGAGGAAACGAAACCAAGCGTAATAAGGTGCATCTGCTGAAATTACATCAAAAGCAACAGCGACATCAAAGGTTGTATAAAAATTTACGAGCTTTCTATGGACCGATATTTTCGTATTTATTCTTGATAAGGAAACTGTTATAAACTTTCCGTGATAGCTGAGCTAATCAGTTTTAAGTCGCGTGGATATGCATCGAATGCAATTGAGACCAAAAATAATTCCGAACGTACATACGCACATTCGTACCTACAAACATTTACTGAAAAACTGTANAAAATTTACGAGCTTTTTCCGAACAACTGCCAAGCAGGTATTCAAAGAACATTTCAGTCGTATCATTGAAATTAAAAAATTCACAAATTAAAACTTACTACTTTTTCCGAATTAAAACTTGAGGATTTGAAAGCCCGTAACATTTAAAAGTAGAATTTATTACGTCATTAGGTTTTTTATGTAATTATTGTGGTTAACTGTTAATATAAAATATTCCTCTTTGCATAATTAATTATACTTTAATAAGCATCTGATGAGTACGTATGCAATTTTGCTTCTGATATGCTTTGAATTGAAGAGTTACTTGTTGTATTGGGACAGTTAATTTAAAAAAATCTTGCGCTGAAGATGGTTATAATTGAATTGAGCAAAGCACGTGTCCACAGTTTTTTAAATAGTTGTGATTATTGGGGTAAATCCTTTCAATTAATTAATTTATTATGATTAATAAAGAGTGCAGAAAGGTGATAATAACCGTGAAATAGTCTGGCACTAATGAATCAATATTACTAGTAATTCCATATAGCATAATCATATAATTTTTATTAACTTTTTATTACATTTTCTACCTGTATAGACAATAGTCGTAAGAATATACGCAGTGTTTTAGATAAGCCAAATCATCGGCATACACAAAGAGAGGATATATCAAAATAAGGCTTACTTGCTTACTAGACATTGCCATCATTACAAGCTATTTACATTGACGATTATGTACAAAATAAACTAAGCTAATTAATTAAACCTAATAAATTAAGTATGATAACAAGTACGTGTATGTAATAATTTTTTAAAAATACATATACTATCCGAAATAATACAGATCACAGGTTCTATTAATCATTGAATTGATCAGAAAAATATCAATAGTAGTAACTAATTAATTAAATTGTAACAAACTAAGTTACTTTAGGGAATATTATGATATAAAATAACTTCAATAGCATTTCAGGTTGCGAGTTCTGCTTATCATTGCTAGTTATTGAACAATTTTTAAAAGATTTTTTGGCGTAGGTAATACATTCCTACATACATATCTATAGATATACTCTTATCTATACAAAATGCACAATTATGCACTATCTAATTTACCTGACTTTAAGATTTACAACATACTCTTGGAATTGAATAGGAATTGACGCAGTTGTTGTAGAGTTGCAGTAGCCAGTCAAAGTTTTTAATCTCTTCAATAGATATGTCGTTCACTTCAGGAACCTTCGTATTGTCTAGAGTAATTCACATTTTTGTATGATTGTATATTTTAATTTATTTGTTTTACGGTTAACTAGCTATTTGATTTGGCGAGACTTGACTAGTTAAGTTAAGCTTCCTTATTAGGTTCCAAGCCAGTTTACTGCTATGTATCACGTCCATCTTTTCAAGTGTTTCTACCCACATTTTCTGGGTATTTTCACTCATAGCTTGCATCAAAATTCCTCCCATTCCATGGTATCATCCGCACTGAACGAATCTTCATCGTAGAGTTAGTTACTTGTATGCAAAGATGTGATTGTTGTCGCTGCTTAAGCCTGGGATATATTTTTGCCTAACGCCTCTTGGGATGTATTTTCCAGATATTTTCTTTACAATGTCGACAAAGGTATCATAATTTTTAAAGACTGACTTGAGATAGATCCATGAGGGTATTATCAATTTCATAGCCGTGCTCTTCCACTTTGCCTTTATGTAATTAAACCTTTTTTAAATGGAATTTTGACACCTAGACACTGGCACCAATTGTATGTTCGGATCATAAGATTAGATCATGAACCACATTCGAGCAGTAACTTTCAATGTTTGATGTCAAACATTGTTAAAAAAATTTGGTAATTTTGAGCTGCGGATGAGTGTAGACTGGTATCCTATTCTATTCTTCTACATGGTCACCATTATTGGCACATATATCCCTGTTCAACCTAATTGACTACACTTAAATCTTAAAACGATGCAACCTATTTTCTAGATCACGAGTGAATCCAATGCACTATTACTGTTATTTTTTGAACTGCTTGTACTGACTGTACTCACGCCGATAATACAAACACAATCTCTCAATAATTTTACAGTGAATACTTTTCATGTGTTTGTTAAATAACAGTACCTACTATCGACTCTAGAAATGTCTCTATTCTATTCGTACCTTTGCTGACCTAAGTATTTTAATGTGAGTATCAGATGGATTTAGTATTATTTTCCTTTTACTTCATTTTGAATTTCAGCCAAAGTCTTTCCTCTAGTTTCAGGGATAAAAAGTGGAAATATTATAGCTAGAATCCCGAATACCGCGAAAATGTAGAAAGTCACGTCACCACCGAAAGTATTTTTCAAGTTTAGATAAAATTTCGTTACGATAAATGCTAAGAACCAACTGAATGTTGCTGCTACAGAAGTTATGATCCCTTTCAGTTCCGGTGGGCAAATTTCAGTGGGTATCAAAAATGCCAAAGGTCCATAACTTGCTCCCAATGAAAGTATGAAAATGAACATTCCAAGGAGTGGTAAAACTCCCACATCGGCCAAAATTTCCGGTGTCACCAAGTTCCTTTCTTGTAATGTGTAGTAAACACCAATTAAAACTAAAGATACAGTTATGAAAGAACCAGATATAGACAAGTATATACGTCGGTTAACTTTTTCTATTACTAAAATAGCAAATATGCTGCCTATTACTTCAAGAGCTCCTACAATTATTGTTGATATTTGTGAGTTCAAAATATTTTCATCAATGCCCGCGGAATTGAAAATGATAGATGTATAATAAATAACGGCATTCAAACCGCTTGCTTGTTGAATAAGCATCAATCCAAATGATACCCAGAGAGCTGTCCTCGCTTCGCTCCTTTTAAACGATTCTAAAATTGACACCTTGTTTAGTTTCTCTTCTTCTAGATGAAATTTTATTTGCTCGAGCTCTTTTCGGACATCATGGAATTTTCCTCTAAACCTTTTCAAAATTCTTAAAGCTTCCTCGTCATTACCTTTTTGCAGTTCATAGTAGGGTGATTCGGGTTGTAGAAGGAACAGTAACCCAAACAGTACCGGAAAACAACATGAAACAATAGCAGAGCCTTTGGAATTGAGCGCAAATCCAAGGATATAGGCGATTAAAACTCCCCAAATTAACAAGGATCCAATAATGGTTCCCAAAGCACCTCGATGGTCTTTTTCGCACAGTTCAGAAATATAAAGGACTCCGTACATTGAAAATGCTCCTGATGATAGTCCACCTATAAATCTGCCCACGTAAATCATTTCTACGTTTTGAGAGAATATTATCAAAAGCCATCCCAAAATGTTGGGTAGAGCCAGCGAAAGAAGTGACCATTTTCTACCAATCAAATCGCAAAGTTGTCCTATTATTATACATGACAGCATGGCTCCAATATTGAATAACGATCCAATCCAACCCAATTCGTCGTCGTCCACAGGTATTTTGTTCAGGTTTCCGTTCAACAAATCGAGACCATTGTTTCCCGTCCATCCAATCACTGTGCCAAGGTAGAAATTTCCCAAGCCCACTGAAAAATAAAAATGTGCTAGTTACTATTTCTCATTGTACACTTACGCCGTGTCCTAGTTAAACGCGACGAAATAATGCGACAGTTGCGACTACGATCAATGTTAATACGATAAAAACGGTGCGTCTGCATGGCTTTGGTAGAAACGTCACGTTTTTGCTAAAAGGGAAAATTTTAAAGAAAAATAATAAGAGGAAAAGTAAACATGAAATTTTTACAGATGACGGAATGACTCCAGCTACATTTGATTATATTGTCACTTATTTAAACACCTCCTCGCTCTATTATTAATTTTTTTTAACCATTTGCTGTCTAATTAAAACTTCTATTATTAATTAGTTATCAATTGACCATTATATGAACACTTTGTCACTTCTTCGCTTTGTATCGCCTCGAACTTATTCTCATACTAACTACTCTCGATCTCGCGACAACTATTTATAGAGGCTGGCCGTGTTCCAGAATGATCCAGTATATGCCTTCTAGAAACCTGGTTTTCTTAGTCACTATGTCTGTTAGGTTGTCTACGTACATGTGACAATATGTATGGTGGAAGTAATACGTGATTCTTATCATTGTTCAACGAATTTTCAAAATTTTATCTCTAGGACAACGTGATTGGCATTTCAAGATTTATATTCGCATTTGTCTAGGACATGGCGTTAGACTCATCGGTAATTACTTACTTACATTTCAAACGCATGAGCACGTACGGTACGGTAAAGATTTACTGAACAAGAACTACATAATACTAAAGACACATCAGAAAGGGCATCAGGTAGTCTTTAATTGTTGTACTTTAATTGAGTGAATTATAGCAAAACATTACAAAAAAGATTAGGTACTTAAATAAATGAAAAAGCATTGGATTCATATTCACTTTAGTGTGTAATTCCTGCTTGTAATAGAACGAAATTACTGCGCAATATATAAAGGCAATTTTTTTAAAGCATTAGAAACAAATATTTGCAGGTTGAAAGTAAATGGTATCAGCCATTATGTTTATGATTTCTAACAATAAATAGTGCATTTAAGTTTGTTTTTATGACGTTGCGGTAATTAAGTCGATTAAATAGTTGCCTACAATGTAATAGGTACATTAAACCAACGGTAATCGAGTATATTATGTTAAATACTCTGATAATCATCTTGCAGGCATAATAATTTGCATTATCCTTAGAAAAACTGCAAAGCATCATGGTCTTTAGATTTTTGAAATAAATTTCTATTTTGAAAAGCGACAACGTTTCAAATACCTATTTTTAATATTAAAACAAAAACTTGAAAGACCCCTTCGTTGCAGAACGTAGTAAAATTTTTAAAAAAATCACAAATTTCCACTAACTATATTCTTGCAGTTTAAATGCAAAGCCCATGCTCGAAGCATTTTTATTTTTATTATCATGTTACTTATCATTTGAATTAAAACGTGAAAAAATTGTAGTGCTTCACAGCTGTAAATTAAATCTTTATTTCGGAATCTAACGATAATAATTATCTTTTTAGATTTATTAGTAGTTGTTATAGTTTGGCTTAAAATAAGTATTTATCTATTATTCTTACTTTAATCAGTAGTTTTTAAGCAATGGTGGACGATATACTGCACTATCATGATTGCATATTTAATCCAAAACTGAATCAATAGCTACGTAATAGTAGAATTGTTTTAAGAAAGGAATGCGTGTTTCTTACTTTAAAAGTGATATTAAAAATTATTAGAGCTAACTTAGAATGGCATGAATCTTAGTCCAGAATTACGCAGTAATACAACTCCGCCCTTAAAATTATTGGTTGTCACCTTTTATAGTTTATCTGGAACTCCGCCCCTGATGTAGCTTTTGTAGCACATAGTTAGTGTCAATAGAAAAACATCAAAATCACTGTTATCAAAGGGTATAATATAGATGCGATAAGGACCATCCCATACGTATCTACGTAAGGTCCATGCCAATCCAAACTGCCTATACCAATAGGTGAACGAATTTGCGAACTATTGATTTATTATAAAATGAAATATTAAACAGTTCAAGATTTTATGGTGATTATTTTTTTTTAATTCAAGCAGTACATAATATTCGAATTTTTTATGGAGTGCATTATAAATTTTAGGAGAATATGATGCAGATACATATTAATATTATAAAGGGTTAATAAACTAAGAAGCGATTAAATTTTTTGTATTTCTATGGGGTGGGTCGAATTACGTTCTTACATTGTTCCTACTAGCAATGTCCTAAACACATAAAAATATTGATTTCTACGTTTCATTTACCAACTTAATTTTATCGTAAAAAATTACAGAGTATTTGAAACCCTATGACATTTTTAATTAATAATAGTGTGTAATAATAATAATATGCAGTATTAATCGAAAATGAATTTTCACATTAATATTACAAAGTATTTGATTACCTACATGAAATACACACATTTATTAGATATTTTGTACAAGAATTTTCCTAAACAAATAAGCAGAAGTTGTTTTTATAATAAATTTTTCGTTTAAATAATGAGGTATACGTACGGATAATAAATTAGTAAAAACGCAAAGTAAGCAAAATGTATATTTCTTACCTGAAAGTGCAGCAAAATATTGTGGAAATAATCTGGTTCTGAAGTTGCCCTCTTTTGATAGGAATGCTACTTTAGGTATCATTTCAGAAGAACAGTGAAAAAAGTAACGTTACTGTAACCGAATACAATTAATGTACTAATGTGCAGAACGATTTTACGTATGATCCGCGACTAGAATGGAAACTATTAAATTCTCCTTGATGATGAGAAAACCAGTAAGTATTTGCGTACAAGGTGATACTATGGCCATAAAGATTACTGTTTATACAGTAAAAGTATTCGTATGCATGTAGATACATACAAATGTGTAATATATAGTATGAAATTTATACATATAAGAAACATAAAACAGTATAATATATCATGACCTTAACCGATGTCGAACCATTGGAGAAAGTAAAAAATCAAGGAGGTATCGATATTATATAGTGGCAGATATTGCAAATATCGCGAAGTTTGTCTTATGTATATCTAAGAGATTAGTTGTGATAGTGGTTAATTGTTGACAACAAAAAGGAACTGGGAATTATATGTATTTTCCACGTAAACTATGATAGTTATGAAATGCTCGTTTCATAAATTGGAAATTATCTCTCAAAAAGAGTCTAATCGATTTAATGTTTGTCAGTATCACTTAGAAAATAGCAACATATGCCACGTTGACAGTTTGATTTGTGTTTCGTAATGTACAAGGCGTTTAAAATCTTCGTTCACGTAAAAGGGCAATGATTATTTATCCAGTGCTGTACACTTTAATGTGTTTTTTGTTAGAAAATTTAAAGTATAGTTTTAAACAAAATTATGCGACATTGGTTTATCTAAATTTTACAGATATTATATATAACTCACTCTTTCTGCAAATGTAATTCAAGTTCGCTATTGAGCGAACAAAATGACTTCACTTTTGCACGAACATTTAAGGGGTCGTTACCTTTCTTTCATAGTCTAAGATTGTGTCTGACTGACGACGTATAGCCTAAGCCCAAACCATTGAACGTAGACTTGGAATTTGGAAGGAATATTCATTTTGACACTAAGGAAAGATTGTGTCAAATTCGATTGCTAAAGGATTAAAAGGAATGTTCATGTAACTGACTGACTTACTGACGACTTACTAGAGATCCGAAATTTGGAGACAATGTTCTGTGAGTATTTAAGGGGGCTCTAAGGGTGTATTTTTAAAATTCGATGGCTAAAGGGGTGAAAAGGGATAGTAAAGTTTGAATGCAGAAATATACACAATCGGAAGAGGGAATTGGCAGAGGGTGTGTAAATGTTATTGTGGAATTGGAATAAAAATAAAAAACAATTTAACCGTCTCTAAAATATATACTAGGAAATCGGATTGCATCTGTTACTGCTAGTATTAGCATTATTTCAACGTAAACATTCGTCGTCGTTTAAATATTTCTTGCGAGTAGGGTAGCTATTTAGAATACCTGAAAAAATACCCTCAATAACCAAACCAATAAAAACAAGATTCTCACAATTATCTCATGTTAATAATAATAAGTAAACCGTATACTTCCCCCATATACCAGGAGATCACATCATCAAAGAATCTATTCGGCTGTCTAAATTTGACATTTTATAACGAAAATGTGGAAGTTCCATGGAGATTATAACTCACATCCGTTATCTTATGTCTGACAATCGAACATTAGCTGTTGTGTCATATGTAATCTTTTTGATCGAAGGATAGAAGTAGGAGTTGATTTTATTATTAATCATATACGCCGCTGTCGACCTTAAAATTCCGCATTATTATTTGTCCAGAATTTTCCTTGTCCGTAAAACCATTCTCGTTCCTCACGCCTACTTGTTTCCATCTTTGTAGGTATGTTGTACGTATCGGAAAGGTGAACAGAACATAACATACAGCACACAAACAAAATTCTCTTGACACGCTACGTTGCGGCTTTCGTTCTCCTACGTGCTCTCCGTGCCCATACTGAATTGTTTCCGTAATAATCTCTTGTCGATGCCCACGTTGATCGATTATTATTTTTAATTTAGGTTCATAATGAGATGTTATACACGAACGCTCGTCGGACGCGTCCGCGCTAATTTATGTTCAGTCTTCGGCTAAACGGTTGTACCGAAGATAAATCTTTGACGACAGGAGAGACAGATAAACCAACGGCGCATTAGAATTCTTTCGACAAGTCTCTATCTTGTTAAACTCGGTCGAACTATTCGGAAACTTTCTTGATTGGTAATACAATTTATCGGGAGGCGTAATTTATCAAAGTTTTATCTGACGACAAGAGATTCAAATCGTGTCTACGCCTCGAGGAACAACGAACAAGAACCTACACAAACATCGTTCGGGATGACGACGCTTTTGTCTCTCCTTTGTTTTTTTTTTTTCTACTCTCTTTCACTTTTTTGTAAACTTTGTGGAAGTTGTTGTTGTGGTATCAGATTAGGGTACGTAATTTCTTACTAATATAAATATTTATCACTATTGATCCGTTATTTTGTGACAAATGCTCGATACTGTCGAACAAAAATACGATAAGTAAATAAGATAAGTCAGCTGCTTTTGGAAACTAATGTATTCATGTTGATTGTTGAATCAAAACAAAAGATTACGTATAAGGCTTAATTCAGACGTACGTGTTTTCGAAGAAGGATTTGGGGCCCCGAAAAACAATAACGTACTGTGCTCCTAGAATTCGTGGTAAGTGTATGGATATCCTTCAAAAGAAACTGCATATATATGTTTATCTCAGTTCAGTTTCACCCCCATAAAAAGTTATAGGGGTTCAAAGTTAATAAATATGCCAATTTTTATACATTTCTAGCCATGTAAATATTTATATAGTCATTCTTAAACAATATTCAAAGGAAAAACTAATGGAAAAATACATATTGAATAAATAAATATTGAGAAAGTTACATAAAACATTATTTAAATATCTTCATCAGTAGGGTAGGTTAGGTTAGGTTAGGTTAGGTTAGGTTAGGTTATCGGGTTTTGTTCAAGTGACCACCCTCTTTCGATCCCCAACCTCCACCCGCTTGAAAATATTTTTTTTATTGAATTTTATTTGAATTAAAGTGTATGACAATTGTCAAAATAATCAACTTTCAACCCCCATAGCTTTTCATGGGGGTGAGACCGCCGCAATTTTTTTATGGGGTTTTACTCAGGTGACCACCCTCTTTCGATCTCCCTACCCCCACCCCCATCTAACCCCCATAATTTTTTATAGGGGTGAGACCACCGCGAACTTTTTATGGTACAGTGATGGGGCAGTAGTGGGGGAGACCTACTCTTTCGATCCCACCCATCATCTAGTCATTTACCAAAATCTTTCATATCTGTAAAAAATGCCTTCTAAAAAGTGTTCAAAAACATATAAATACTTTGATTTATACTTAAATATAAATTCAAATATCTATTCATAAAGTTGTAGAATGTGTGATCGGACTTTCTGGCTGTTGTCTACGGAAATTCCTTCCCGACGTTTCGCCTGCAACGGCGGCAGGTATTCTCAACGACTATGGACGCTGGGTAGAATTATCCACCAAGCGACCGTCGAGATACAACCACCACTTCATCACCCTTGAGAATGCCTGTCGCAGTTGCAAGCGAAACGTCGAGAAGGAATTTCCATAACCAGAAAGCTCAACCACACTTTCTACAACAGACGTCGACCGTGAAAGCCTATATATATGTAAAGATACTATTGTTGTTGATTTTAACTAACTATTAACTAGTAACAACATTCAATTTTAACAATTTATTTCTACCCCGTTTACATTTAAAAGATACAAGTTTATACATCCGTACTTCTACGACCAACTATCCCACATTGCCATTGCAGGGTGCAGGATAAGTGCCTGTTGCGCAAATGTATCTTCCGTCTATGCGTGCGTTTCCAGGTGGCCCTTATGTAATCACGTTACGAACAGGGAAATTCCACCCTTCGCCAACATAAATTCCACCCTCCGCTAACATATATATTCATAAGTATTTAAAAACAAATACAAATACATTTGAGTTATATTTAAGTATAAAAGCGTAACGTTTTTTAAATACGAATAATAAATATTTTTCATTGAAATGTATTTCAAAACAATTACAAATACAATACAAATATGCTTTCCTTATAGTCAAAAATACGATAGCTATATGTGCTTAATCATTGTTAGGTAGCCTTGAAGCACAGACAACATTTTTTAATTCTAGAATAATTAAAATTTCTGTTGATTAAAAAACAATGCTAATTTTGACAATAGAAAACACTGTAGGCCACTAAAAAATAATAATGACAAACACTTTCTTATCTGATTACGTTTATAATAGCCCAAATATTAATAAATAATTGTAGTAATCGTAAATGGCACAACTATCCCTAAATTATATCCTACATAACGTACTTACATAACTATTTTCATGATAAAATGAAATTCCATGTCACATAAATATTATAAACGGCTTATATGTGGTAAAACTTTAGATAAAAATCAGACAAAATAACTCGCTGAAACACAATAGTAAATCATACTTTTATCACCTAGTATTAGCAAAATGAAAAGTAAGTAAAATCCTAAATTCAGGGTTAAAAACTCGAATCAAGGTCGATAAATTCAACAGCTGAAACAGATGTCCCTTTTTGGCATATCAAAGATGACTGCTATGCACCAAAGACAAATGTTAGATTATGGCATGATTAAAATTCAAGTTATTTCTATACATCATTGACAACAGCCCAATTACAACGAGTGAAGAATAATAATTTCTTCAATAGCATCAACTCTTGTTGTATTTGGCATGCTATCTAATGTAAACCCTTACATCAGAGGTCCTTGTCGAAGAAAAATATTTTCACGATCCTGGAGCGAATCAAAAAAGTAAGCAACTGAAGAAACTAAAGCCATAAATTTGTCAAAGCAGCATTCTTTGGGAAACGCTATAAATGATGCAGAACGAGGACAAAAGCTTTATATAAAAGAACTTCTGATGGAATTAAATGTCAAGCGTTGTAAACTTCAGGTTTCTGCTCCATGTCAATTTTTTACGTAATCTATAAAATACTTTTTGTCGGTGTCACATTTTTTATAAATGTATTTTCCATCAAGTGTAGCATAGGGAATTCATTAACACGAAGAATTAAGGAAAGGTTATCAAATACTTTGGAATATGTATTTCAGAGATATCGAGACATGAAAATTAAGCAGGCAATTATAATTATACGAAGGGGTGACCGGAGCAAAACGAGGTTTGGGGCAAGACGGAATGAGCACTAATGTATGCAACTCTTATGCGCATATGTGTAGTAATTGTTTTGTTTTGTTTTCGTGGAAGAAGGAAAATCTTCAAAAGACACCCACTTATCCGTACGACTGGGTAGTGTCGGATTCCCGAGGAAGATGTCCTCGAACCTACCGACTAAAACTCCTCTACCTCAAGCCGTTGTAGGATCAATGTGGACTTTGTTCTAATACTCAAATGTCAAATTGATCCATTTTTAGGGTTCCGTACCTCAAAAGGAAAGAGGAACCCTTACAGGATCGCTTGGTTGCCCGCCTGCCTGTCAAGACGTTTCTTCTCAGAAACGCATTGAAGTATCAAGTCGAAATATCAAACAGTCAGGTCTGCAATCCCTTGGAGATTTAAGAAAATTAAGCTTCTAGGTCAACGCAATCAAAAGATACGGATTAGAAAATACTACAAATGGCGCAGTAAACGCCATCTGTAGCACGATGCTACATTTTAGGATTACGTATGCTCCAACAAGGTCCACTTGTGTGGATATCTTTTTGCTGAAAACGAATCCCGGGGCAGCCAACCTCAACGTGATAAGAATGCAGACCACTTCGAATTATTTTATTTTTAAAAGATACGGATGTTTATGCCGTATAATTTGATACTCGCATGAGTATCAAAACCTACAGGATAATTCCTGTTGTCCAAAAATCATGCAAATCTGTAATTACATCACAAAAAATGAACTTTTTAATTGTAATATACGTTTCGGGGTTGATTTTTGGAGGAAACTTAAAATATACTCGGAAAAGGCAAGGAAAATCTTGGAAATTCGATTCCTCTGTCAGACAAACTATTTACGTACCTACAGGCTTTTAGGGAATCCTGGGTGCGCGAATCCAATTCGCATTTGGCCGATTTTTTTAACCTACCTTCATTTAGAAGCTATTGAAAATTATTACGTATAATCAATTCTTATTTGAAGAAGCAGTAAACAATATTTCTTCGTAAGTAACGAAAACCGTAGCGCGACCGGCCTTAATTTCAGCAAACAAGACGAGTGCTAACGATGAAGAGATTCGTATCGGTTATTTATCTGCAGTTCGCAATGGTAGTGGCAGTCGTAAACCATTATCGTTGCGAAGAAGCAGCGAACAAGTAGATTCGTTCAGCTTCCCGTTCCCATCCACTCGGTCGTTTTAATTGAATTAATAAATCTTCCTTATAAGTAACAAAGGCTCGATTGAAAACTGTTTATAGTCACACGACCGGCAACTGTAAGAAGTTTAATGCTCGTTGCTCGTCTACAGGGAGAGCACACCGTGCATACAAGTTGTCGCGTTTATGGTCATAATTCGAGACAATGTTGCCACATTGGCATGGAACAGACCGCACCCCTCGTATGATGTACGGAATAGTCCATAAACACTTGATAATGCGTTCGGTGTAGTGTTATGGGACTTAGCCCCGTGAGTTATCTTCGTAAATTTGGTCCGTAATTTGGACCGGAGCCACGTTCGTATTACATGCACCGTAATAGTTTAGAAGGAGTTATACGACATTGTTATTAGGCAAACAGGAGCTGTCCATGTGGGAATGTGTTTTAACTAACACCGGACTTAATTATCGGAAGTAGCGATTGTCCACATTACGCCCTCGTTATTTAACTGGTGAACGCGACGAATTCGAATTCCAGGTAAATTGTAGTAAACTTGCAAGTGTGAAATTATAAGAAATTAAACTGTTTTCTTCTTCTTCTAGTGCCGTGCAGATTACTGCGTAGGCGTTTATTGTTTTCTTATTATATGGTTTATCTTTCTCAATTGGCGGATATTTCTTAGCCCACGATAAGCTTTTTCCACCTATTCCTCTTCCATCTCCTTCAATTTTACGTTGAAAGTGGTAACGTTCTCCGCGTAGTATGTGTCAGAGATAACCTACCTTTCTTTTTTTGATATTTTGGAGGAAT